TGGTTCTTAGAGGAAATATAATGTACTTTTTTTTTCCGAAACGTTAGGAATTTTATATCACAATCAAACTATACACTGTTGGAGCAAGGGATCCTATTTTAACATTAGTGCATTTAGCACTCTGGGGTGGAGTAGTTCCACTCCATACCACAAAAGTTTAGAAGAGCAATTTTGCTCAAACTATAGCAAAGGCTATCAATGTCCTCATTTAACCTATCAAAAAAGCACATTCGAAACCATGAAGTCATTTTCTGTATGTCCTCTATTATAGTGGCTGACTCCAAACTCCTAGCTTTTCCGGCTCGTATTTGGTCAAGCAGCTTTCTATCCTCAATTCGTATCTTGATGTCTCGCCATCCCTTTGTTGCTGCTTTGATCATACAAAGCCTCACAGCCTCGGCATTGTCCTGAGCTTTGTTCCCTGCTTTCCTTTCCTTTAGCGACCAGGCTGCAATTCCTTGGCTTGCGCCATTCGCAGCTGTGATGCCTATACCAAAGGATTTGTTTCCATTCTGGTGTTGGATCGCCAGCTTTAGCGTTACCACTTCTGAGCCAGTTTGCTCTCTTTGATTGTTCTCTTCTTGCCTTCTTGTTTCTGTTGTGCTTTTTCTTGGTTGTTGCTGCATTGCTTCCTGGTACTCTTTCCATTCTTTAGCAGCTTTTTCACTCACTTTAAGGGGATGTTGCTGTGCTGAGTTGAACATTCTGGCATTTCTCGATTTCCAAATTTGCCACAGCACATTGACAGTTAGCGCTATGTGATCATCACCTTCTTGCCTGGTCCTTGCATGCATCATCATGGAGGTCCACCATTGTTTGAAGCAGCCTGTTTGGTCTTTCAATCCGTCCCAGTTAACTAATGCAAATTTCCATATTCCTTTTGCTATCTTGCATTGCAGCAGCATGTGCTCAATTGATTCCTCTTTTTCTCCACATCCACAGCATATCGGTTCTCCTCTTTGTGTCCTATGGAAGATTTGAGCCTTTGTTGGTATTCCATTATTGATGCATTTCCACACAAAAATTTTCAACTTATATTTGATAGGTAACTTCCAAAGTGTCTTCCATAATTTCCTATCTGTTTGTTGATAGCTGCATCCTTCTCCTTTGTTACTTCCTTCCCTTCGTTTCCTCTTCTCTTGCTGCAAATATTTGTAGCCAGATTCTACAGTGTATTGACCTGTGTTGCAGTGTTTCCATACCAGACAATCTCCTCTTTCTGCTAGGCTTATTGGGATGCTGAGGATGTGTTCTGCATCTTCCCTATTAAAAACTCTAAAGATTAACACTCTATTCCATCTATGCTGAACAATGAGTTGTGAGACCTTTTGCAAGCTACATCCCACTGGTTTCTGAGTTTTGATCCTTCCTCCACTGTTGTTGTTGATCCAACTGTCTTCCCATATGTTGGTCCCTCTTCCATTTCCTATCCTTTTTTTGCACCCATCTCTAATTACCTCTCTGGCACTCAGTAGACTTTGCCAAATCCAAGATGCGTTTTTGGGGATCTTGCTCTCAAGCATGGAACCATCCTTGAAGTACTTACTTTTCAGAAACTTGCTTACCAGAAGGTTGGGTTGAGTCATTATTCTCCAAACTTGTTTTGCAAGTAAGGCTTTGTTGAATTGCTGAATATCTTTGAAGCCCATTCCTCCTTCTTCCTTGGTTCTAGTACATCTCTCCCAAGCAATCCAGTGCTGTTTATCTTTTTTCTCCTTTTGTCCCCACCAGCATTTAGCCATCAGTGATCTTATTTCCTTGCATAGCTTTTGGGGAAGTTTGTAGCAGGACATGGCGTACGTTGGCATAGCCATAGTTATTGCCTTCAAAAGAGTTTCCTTGCCTGCTGGACTGAGTAGCCTTGTCTTCCAATGCTCCATCTTTTTCCTTATGTTATCCCTTATAAACCCAAAAATCTGCTCTTTTGATCGTGTAATTATCATTGGCAGCCCCAGGTACTTCCCTTGTTGCACAGCACGGATTCCTCGCAGTTCTTCTCCTATTACTCCCTTCACCCTCTGCTCAATGTTCTTGCTGAAGAAAACTGAGGATTTCTCTAAATTGATTAGTTGACCTGATGCTGCTTCATATTTGTTTAGGATTGCCTTCAATTCTTTTGCTTCTTCTGGATCAGCTTTGCTCAGTATCAACGAATCATCTGCAAAAAAGAGATGGGTTAGTGTAGGACCATTCCGGCTGATCTTCATTCCTTCAATCTTCTTGCTGATCTCTGCTTTTCTGAGTAGGCTGGAGAAGCCTTTTGAGCAGATTAGGAAAAGGTATGGTGAGAGGGGATCGCCTTGTCTTAATCCTCTCCCTGGTTCACAAGTTCTCTCGCTTCTCCATTTACACTGAAGGAGTAAGAGACAGTAGTTATACAGTTCATTATCCACTTAATCCAGGTGTCACAAAAACCCATTTTTTCCATCATTGACTTCAAGTAATCCCATTCCACTCTGTCATAGGCTTTAGACATATTGAGTTTAACAGCCATACATCCCATTTGCCCGTTTCTTTTATTTTTCAGATGATGAAAAAATTCATGGGCTAAAATGACATTATCCAGGATTTGTCTGCCCGCAACAAAAGCAGATTGATTTTTGCTTATGCACTTATCAAGCACAGGTTTGAGTCTGTTCACTAATATTTTGGAAATGATTTTGTAAAGAACAAAGCATAAACTTATGGGTCTAAAGTGCATTAAACTGGTAGGGGTTGGGATTTTGGGAATTAAGGAGATGAGTGTGTGGTTAATGGACTTTAGCATGTGACTTGAGTGAAAAAAAACTTGAACTGCTTCTACTATATCTTTTCTAATGATATCCCAATAATTTTGGAAGAAAAGAGGGGTCATGCCATCACTTCCAGGGGCCTTATTAGGATTCATGGAAAACACTGCAGTCTTAATTTCCTTCTCATCCACAGATTTGATTAATATCTTATTCATTTGTTCAGTGATTGTGGTTGGAATCCCCTCAAGTATCTCATGAATGCTGTCCTCCCTTGTTGCCACTATTGAGGCAGTGAAGAGTTGCCTATAGTATTTGGCTATTTCCTGTCCAACTTCTTGTTCTGATTTAGTCCAGTTTCCATCACTTTTTTGGAGTTGGTTCATTCTGCTTGCCCTCCTCCTCCCATTCACCACTGCATGGAAATATTTGGAATTTTTGTCCCCTTCCCTCAGCCACTGCAATCTTGCTTTTTGACTCCAGAACATTTCCTCTTCTTGATATGCCTTTGTCAATTGTTTTTCCAAATTAGCAATCTCTCCCTTTACTGTTATCCAGTGTTGCTCCTTTTTCTTTTCTAGTTCCTCTTTGATCTCTGCAATCTTCTTTTTTGCATTGCCAATCTTACTCTTGTGCCACTTTAGGAGGTTAACCCTGCAGCTTGTTATCCTCTTGGTAACCTTGTACATCCTGGATCCTTCACATGTTATATTCCAAGCTTCCTTTATCAGTTGATGGACTTCCTCATATTGTACCCACCGTTTATCAAAATAAAACCTCCTTTTCCTTCTTCTGTTTGCAAGGCAGGTATCCAGTAACAGTATACTGTGATCAGAAGCCCAATTTTCCACATGAGTGCACTTCGCATTATCAAAAACTTCTAGCCATTCAGGTGTACAAAGCCCTCTGTCAAGTCTTTCTTTTATTTCAAGTTCTTCATCCCAACTATTCCTCCAGGTCCAGGGCAGTCCTTCGTATCCAATATCCACCAGTGTATTCCTTCTTATGAACTCTCGGAAGTCAGAAAATGTCCACTCATCCCTGTCCCTTCCACCCCACTTCTCCTCTTTACATTTTATGTCATTGAAGTCCCCTATTATTATCACCTTGTCTCCCCAGGCCTTTTTCCTTTCAGTTACTATATCCCATTGCTTTTTCCTTACTTGTTTTTCACAGCTGGCGTATATACCAACTAACCACCAATTAATTCTTGCTTCACCATCTTCTATCATTACTTCAATGGTGAAATCCGTGTGTTGCACCTCCTTCACCTGGACTGAGTTTGTCCAGAAGAAGGCCATACCACCTGCCTTGTTGACAGCATCCACTACATAACTGTTTTCCATTCCCACCTTCTTTTGTATTTGGTACATCACTGCCTGCTTGTTTTTAGTCTCACTCATCAGGATCATATCAGGGGAGAGGAGTGTGTTGCACTCCCTCAGCTAGGGAACTGACAAGGAGCTCCCCGCTCCTTGGCAGTTCCACACCATAACCTTCATGGATTATTGGGGACCAGGTAAGGCTGATCCCCATCCCTTCCCCCTGCATCTCACATTGCTCTTTATTAATTTCCATTCTGGTTTTTTTTCCTGCTTGTTCCTGTTCATTAGCTTCTTCCATTTCCTCATCAACAAGATGGAATTTCCTTTTCCCCACTGCTTGTGTTTCATTTTGTTGACCTGTGATGTCCCTGAGGGGTTGTCTTTTCCTGAGTTGGCATTTGACTCCTCTTTTTTGTTTTCCTCCTTCAATTGACCTCTTAGTTCCTGGAGTCACCTGTGTTTCTGAATCTACCAACATTTCCTCCGTTTCCTTTCTTGCACATCCAGGATTCAGAGCATAGCCTAACACTTTTTTTCCTATTCCATCACAAGCTGACTTTCTTGTCTCGCTACCTATTGGAGTATTCCCTACTTGTTCCTTCAGGTTAATGTTATCACTCACAGGAGCATTGTTTCGGTTGTCCTCATGTTCCATTTCCGTAATTTCAACTCCCTCCGCTTGGTCCTTTACCATACATTTCTCTCTGTCCTCCACAGCCTGTTCCTGTATAGCAGCTAATTCCTGGTGTCGACTTCCTTCACTTTTTTGTTTCACCACATTGGTTACCATCCATCTTTCCATCAGATTCCTCTGTTGAAGTGATGGGCTTTGATACTTGGGAACTAGTTCTCCATCCTTGAACAACCAGTGTTGCTTCTCATTCTCCTTCCTTTGTGAGCTATTGCTTTCCTTTTGTGGTGACATCTTCCCTCCCTCTGCCCTCATTCACGGGCCATATTGGTTCTCATTCTGTCCTTTGCTTAAAACTATATGTGTCTTGCAAGTCCTATCACTGTGACCAATCCTCCCACATTTGTAACAGAAGTCAGGGCACCTCTCATATTTAAATTGCACCCACTTATACACTCCATCCACTTTCACAGCTGTTCCTCTTGGGAGCGGTTGGTTTGTGTCCATTGTTACCCACAGCTTCAAATGCTTACCTTCCTTCCCTCCCCCTTGAGGAATGCTTACCTCCTTCACTGTTTCAAAAACATTTCCTATTTTCCTGCCAACTTCCTTTGCTATCCAGTGTAGAGGGAGGTTCCAAACCTGTACCCACAAGGGAGCTAGCCTAAAGGCATTCTCATCCTCTTCAATCCCTTTTTCCCACGCTCTGAGGATGATTATTTGGTTATCCAGTAGCCAAGGTCCACCATTCAGGATTTTATCCCTCTCTTCCTCTCTTGGGATAAGGAACTGAAACAAGTTAGGTCCTAGTTCAGTTGTCCTCAAATTCTTTGGATAGCCCCATGCTGCAGTAACAAACTTCTTAACTCCTGTGAAGTTTGCTACTTTTTCCCCCTTAATTCTACCAATTATGCTCTTTTGACATTCCTGCACCCCATTACCCAGATCCTCCACATCAATTTCAGCCCCTTTCATTTCAGACATAGATAGAGCAAATCTCTTAATTATCTCTGCCAAATCGTCCTCCATGACTTGCAAACCGTATACTTGCAAGGATTCCTTTTAATCACTTAAAATGCACAAGATCTAACCTTTCTGAAGTGAGAGTTAAACTAAGACAGCAAACAGACAAAAATAGAACAACTTTTAACTACACTCAAGAGAACACAGAAACTAAAAGGGATGCTAAGCTATTTAGGAAAGAAAAGAAGAGAAAAAACAAGAAACACACAAAAGTGAAAGGATTCAGAAGCAACGGGCTTATGGAATGTAAGACAATTAAACTAATATGTTACCACCTACTGAGTGGCTCCTTCCTTTCTTGCACTTTGTCCAGCTTCGAATCAGCACAAGGAATAGCTTTTATTATCTTTCAAAGGTTTTCATCTCGCCGTTTAGGGACTTTGTTGATAGATTGCGTCTAATCTGACTGAACAGTGTTGTTTGCTGATCATATTAAATGACTGCCTTGCATTTTGTCTTGTAGTGTTGAATGTTCTTGGGGCGATGTTTTGAAGGCTGGCGGTAGAAGATTGCTGAATTGTTGAAGTTTCTGTGTTTCAAATTTGAGGAACAGTTGAAGATTTGAAATTTGAAAGGTTAAAAGTTGAGAGGTACGAATTGTTCAAAAGGATGAGCGGTGAAAAGGGTGTAACAGGCGTAAAGAAAGCAAAAAGTGAAAAAGCTCCCACCTTGGAGAGAAAAGCTCACACTAGAGAGAGAAGCTCCCACTTTTGGAGAGAAGTTCCTTAAATATAATGTACTTCACTACACCGAAATATACCCTCCTTACTAATGGTCGACATATTTTACGTAATTTATCTTTTGTTCTTTTAGACTATTACTATTTTAAATTGCACTCTTCCTAGAAACTCAAGGAACTCGTCTTAACAAGTTAACCTACACGGCACCCTTTAGACAAATTTCATTTGGAGGAAGAAAGTCAATTTTACAGCAATTAATGAAACAAAGAGACGTCTTCCCTCCTCCGTGTGCACTATTTTTGTCATTAAAAAATATAACTCTTAAACACTTAGAATTTGCTGATTCACAACAAACTTTACCGTAAACTTTTCCTCTTGACCTTATCTTATCCATTACACAATCTATATTCATAAAAATTTTACTGCAAGAAGTGACTTCTTTTCATCAAACTTTCTTTTTAATTTCTAGAATTAGAATGGATTTGTGATCATCTACACTGAATAAATAGAGATATCTAATTTGACCTACCACTTTCTTTTAAAGTACTAAAAGCAATTAGGATTGTATACTAAAAGCTAATGAATTACAGAAAACGAAAGTTCATTATTATATTTAGGCTAATGAGACTGACGGATTTTCAATATAGGTGCAAGTTAAATCCAAAATATATCCGTTTGATTACAAATATACAGGTATTAAAAAGGGCATAAATCAAGTCGATCCCACAAAGAGCCAATAGTGCAAGTACTAGATCCTTACTTATTCTATTATTTAGAGTAATTATCAACAGAATCTAAAGAAATCACAATTACTTACTAACTAACTTACTCAACTAGATAACTTGCAAGAAAACAATGGAGAAAATCCACTAAATACTTGAGTCTAGGGTGTAGAATGCACTTATGGCATAAAAGATACAAGTGAATAAATTTACCTCTTGTTACTACTCTTGTTTAACTAAGGATTCATTTCCAAATTTACCAAAACTTATTCTCATGATGTAGTGGCTTAGATTAGACTAGTTTCCCTATTCTCATGATGAATAACCAGATCTACCCTTTTGTTCTTCATGAAATGTAAGGATAATCCACTTAAGTGCATCTCTCTTCTCATAAGTCTACTTCTTAAACTCCATTTATGTTATTCCATCATTATTACTAATTTTTATTGAATAACAACAACCAAAAATTTGCTATTGGTGATCAAGAAACAACAAGTGATAAACATGCATATATGGATAAGTTAATACAAGAGGTAACAAGTGCAAATCGTATTCAACTCATATCAAATAGCCACAAGGTTCATCTACTATCTAGATCTAGAAATTTAGCTACTCATGTGATATAAGATAAGAAAGAACATAACTTCATTGCATAAACACATAATAAATCACAAGTAAAGAGATAGATAAAGAAAGATTAGCCAAGATGCTGAACAAGCTCCCAAGATCTTCTATTTGTTCAACAAATGAGTTGTACAATGAAGTTTCCAATTGTTTCTTACAAGCTTCTAACTAGAGAGAATAAGAAAAAGCTATAACTAAGCTCTCTTCCTAATAACCAAGAACTCCTCTCTATTCTAATGATTCTTACATATATAGTATTAAGAGAGTCAAACAATGTCAAATGAAATGACGTAAAGCTTCCTTTTCACTTCCCTAAATATTCTTAAGCATGTGTAGCCGAAATTTTATGCTGGAATTGAGTTAGAAAGTGGTGTAAAATAGGGCAAGTTACAGAGCAAGTTGTAGAGAAATAGGGGAGAATATGCAACCTGAGCTTGCGTATTCAGAGATCACGTTTTCTTTTCAGTGACGTTTCCTTAGTTTCTATTCCAATTCACTACTAGGATCACAAGCAAGTAGCCCTATTTTTGTTCATGCATTGCACCAATAATACTTGCATTATGCTCTTTTACTTTCCAAATCGTAGTTGAATCATACACTAAATGAGTTCAAATGAATCCATCTCGATCCAATGTTTATATCATGTTTCAAATCTTGCAAATATAACCAAATTTACACATTAAACTGTTCAAATCACTACAAGAAAAAAGTCCTATTATGACATACCTATAATGACACTTTTTAGTAAGTGTTATTTTACATCTTTTATGAAGACATGAAAAAGTGAGTGTCATAATAAAATAACATGAACCAAGTAGCATTGCTCTTTGTTTTATATTTTTTCTAAATTGAAAATTTTGATATGTCAAATTAGAATAGCTATTAGGGCATTACCTGTGAATGTCAGCAGAAGTAATAGAAAATTGAGATAGAAACGACATAGTTTTGTCACTGGAATAAAAGAAATGGTGAGAAAGCGCGGGGAAAAGAAAAAAGAACGCGGCAAGGAAATTTTTGCCGCTTCACTAATAGTCTGCCGCTTCACTAAAAATTTGCCCAATACATTCTTTGAAAGCTCCGCCTCTCACAATTCACAGCAAAAGTTCCACCAGTTTCTTCTCCAAATCTAAACCCGTGGACCCTATTCATAAAATCCATCATCGCCAAAATCAATCTTCCAAGCCTACATTCTTTTTTAATTCTTTAATCCCTACCCTTTCTCCGTCTATCTTGGGTTTTAGATGCACTCCAATTTGACCAGAGGAAGAGAAGGATGGTGTAGCGGTTAAAAGGTAAGTGTATTATGGGTTTTTGAAAATCATATGCTTTGCCTGCCGTACGTGAATCATTGCAATTTGATTGTCGATATTTCTTGCAAAATTAAGGGTTTGAGGTATGGGTAATAATTATTCATGCGGAGGAGAGCAATCCTTCAATTTGAAATGTATATAATAATAAAACAGTGCACTGAAGCAGTAATGAAAGCGTAAGAGGGTCTTTGCTAAATTGTGTCCAATCATGATGGCTTTGGCTCTAGACATTTTGTGCTCGCCTGGTCGCGTGGATGCCAGCAGCTACTTGAATCAAATGAATTTCAAGGATAAACAATAAATTTTTACATTCATCCGTTGCTTTCTAGAGCTGTTCTGATAATCTTGAGCTTCTGTATGGCTTCCAGTTATATAGAGGAAAAAAAATTTAAGCCGAAACTTTGTTTTCTCTGCTATTTTGCTTTCTCTCCTCAGACGGACCTTATTTGAGGTCCTTGATTACTAGTTAAGATCTTATTAAGTTCTTGATTACTAGTTAAGTTTTCATTGTTTGTGCATGCGAGAAGTTCTGAGAGCCAGTTGGGGAAAGTTGCTAGGTTTCTGGAATAATGCAGGACAATTGGATTAACCGAGTCTCTAGATATTTATCTTCTGAATGAATTTCCTAATAACATAGGTGAACGCTTAGATGAATTTGGATTTTGCCCATTATAAATTGGGCGAATGTTGTTGTGAAGCCCAAGAAGACAAAATCATGTCTTTGAGCTTACACAGGGACATAATACGAGGGATATGAGCATTCTTTCATACAAGTTTAATACTGAAGGACCAAAAAATAATTGGCACCAATACAGGTTCTGAATTTTAACTTCCAAAGTGAAGTTAATCCCTCAAACATGAACATACAATCTTTATATTTCTTGAGTTTAGATAAAATTCCTGCTATCCCGATGCTTTTCATGAAAATGTTATTCAATGAGAATAATTTGCATTTGTGGTTTTCTGTTCAAATGGGGAAAATGTGCATGTTTTGGATCATTTTCTTGCATATCTTGGTGATTTTATATATGTACACAAAGAAAGTATATTCCTTGGATAGCCACTGATTTAGTTGGAAAATTAAAATCATTGCTCCAATTAGACAAAAAAATTTAAGAGAACTAATCATAGATATAAACAATTAATTTGCATCTCAAAAAGATAAGTTTAAAACTCTTCTATATTTGTTTGTTCTATTTGCATTAGAATAATTAGGAAAAGTCATTCAGCACTTTTGGTTGTTTCTCATTTTCCAAAATATTTGTCAAGAAATTTGCAAGCTAATGTTATTTTCTTCTTGAATAATTAGTGAAGAACGTATACCATCTATTCAAAATATTATACAATTGTTAAAATTTTACTTAAGTTCATTAATGTTTCATAACAGGTTTGAATTGAAGATAGCTATCTATGAAAAGTGTTCGTTCTTGAAGACGGTGCACATTGATTTCACTAGAGGTACAAGCTAACTTATATTCTTGTGTTCTTTTTTGTTAGAAATTAGATTAATTTACATATATGATATTAAATTTGTTCATTTGTTTGAACCTGTAATGTACTTTCCTTTTCATCTTTTGATCATTTGGATTCTTAATTCTTTTCTAAACTCGAGTGTCATTGTAGTGGATATATCATATGACATGCAAATTTTGTTCTTAACATTGATTCGTGTAAAAAACTGTTTACTTGGTGATACGTGATAAATGGCTAGTGGTGGAATACCTTTGGGGTTCGGTCTATTTGCTCATGGCTTGTACTTTTACCTCAAACAGTGACCTTCTTATTGACTTCCAAATAGCTTCTTGATATTCTTAATTGCTTTTTGCTTATATATATATATGTATATGTATGAATGTGCATATTTTAAGGTTAAATTTGTCATGGTTACAGAATATGGATAAAACTTGGATGCAAAAAAATAGACGAAGCAAAGAATATTGGGATGGTTTGCAAAAATTCTTAGATTATGCATTCCAGAATTCAAGTATAAATGGGATGATATTATGTCCATGTAAAGAATGTAAGTGTGGTGTATGTGTTACCAGGGAGAATGCAGAACTTCACTTGAAAGTTTATGGTTTTGTTAAAGGATACACCCATTGGGCAGCTCATGGAGGATTTGTTTACTCTAGTGCACCAAAACCTACTTCTCATGATATCTCACATGGGGTACGGGATGAACTTGATGACATGCATGGTTTGGTTCATGATGCATTGGGAATTTCTGAACAAGATCATACAAAGATAGATGGAACTGAATACAAAAACCAATTGCCTAATGGAGAAGCTGAAAAATTTTACAATCTGATTGATAATTCTAACAAAGAGCTTTACTCTGGATGTAAAAGATTCTCAAAACTTTCCTTTATGATTCGGTTGCTTCACCTCAAATGCCTTGGTAAACTTAGCAACAAAATTTTTGATATGTTACTTGATTTGTTGAAAGAAGCCTTTCCAGATGCGATGGATGGTTTGCCTAAGTCTTATTATGAAGCTGAAAAGTTAATGAAAGAATTAGGACTTGGATATGATAAATATGATGCATGTCCGAATGACTGCACTTTGTATTGGGGAGTAGATGCAAGCAGAAAGCATTGTGAAACATGTAAAGAATCCAGATGGATTAAATCTGAAAATGATCCGACTGGTGAGGGAAGAAAAATACCGCATAAGGTTTTTGTGGCATTTTCCCCTAAAACATAGGTTACAACGCCTCTTTATGTCCTCCAAAATTGCAGGCCATATGAGATGGCATGTAGAGGGTCGTACTAAGGATGGTAATATGAGGCACCCTGCTGATTCTCCATCTTGCCAGACCTTTGACTTTTAGCATCTAGAATTTTCTCAAGATTCTCATAATGTGAGGTTGGGCCTAGCATCAGATGGATTTAATCCGTTCAAAAATATGAGTTCAACTCATAGCATTTGGCCGGTAATATTGATGCCATACAATTTGCCGCCATGGATGTGTATGAAACAACCGAACATTATGTTATCATTGTTGATACCTGGTCCATTTGCTCCAGGAAATAATATTGATATATATTTAAAACCTCTCATAGCAGAATTAAAGGAATTGTGGGATGTTGGAGTGAATACATATGATGCATCAAGAAAAGAAAACTTTCAACTTCGTGTAGCACTTTTGTGGACCATTAGTGACTTTCCAGGTTACGCAATCCTCTCCGGATGGAGCACTAAAGGAAAACTTGCATGTCCTGTATGTCATAAATACACATCTTCATAGCATATACAAAATTGGGGGAAATATTGCTATATGGGCCATGGGAGGTACTTGGAAATGAATCATCCATTTTGCAAAGATGCTAAATCTTTCAATGGGTCTGTAGAGTATGGAAAACCACCGGGAAGGTTAATGGGGTCTGCAATTTTAGATGAGTTAGCTGGTTATGGTATTAAACTTGGGAAGAAAGTTAGCGACAATCCAGAATTGCCATTTAATTGGAAAAAATTAAGTATTTTCTTTGATTTGCCATATTGGAAAGACAATATGATACGTCATAATCTTGACGTTATGCACATTGAGAAGAACATTTGTGAGAGCATTGTGGCTACATTATTGAATCTGGAAAAAACCAAAGATAATAAAAAATCACGTCTTGACCTTCGTGATATGGGTATAAGATCAGAATTGCATCCGATTGAGAAGGGAAATGGTAGGAGTGTTCTGCCTCCAGCTTGCTTTACATTGAAAAAGAAGGAAAAGGAGATGTTTTGCAAAGTTTTGAAAGGGATAAAAGTTCCAGATGGATATGCAGCAAATATTTCTAGATGTGTTAAAGTAAAGCCACCAAAAATTTCTGGATTAAAAAGTCATGATTACCATATTTTGATGCAACAGCTTCTCCCAATAGCTTTGCGCAGAACTTTATCAAAAGCAGTTCGCTCTCCTTTGATCAAATTGAGCAGGTATTTTCGCAAGTTATGCTCCAAAGTTTTGGATCCGGCAGATTTAGTTCATTTGGAAAAAGAGATTGGTATCATACTTTGTCAATTGGAAAGGATTTTTCCACCGCCCTTTTTTAATGTGATGGTACATCTAGCTGTTCATTTGGTTAGCGAAGCAAAAATAGCAGGGCCTGTTCATTATCGGTGGATGTATCCTATAGAAAGGTACTCATGAAATATTTAATTGAAGTATTTTGCAAATTTTAGACATTTTTAGTAATTAACTTCATCTCAATATTTTAAACCTGAATTAAAACTTGCCTTGTCAAGGTATTTAGGAACTTTGAAATCCTACGTCCGAAATAGAAGTCGACCAGAAGGCTGCATTGCTGAAGGGTATTTAGCCGAGGAATGTTTGAATTTTTGTTCCTTATACCTAGCTGATTATGTTGAAACGAAGTTTAATCGGACAAGTAGAAATGATGATGTGGGCGAGACCTCAAGTGAAAGGTTGGATATATTTTCCAGTTCATGTCGTCCATTAGGAAAAGGAACTCCAACAAATTTCAGCAATGAAATTTTGAGAAAAGCACATCAATATGTGCTATTTAATTGCGACCACATCAAGCCATATGTTGAGTAAGTAGATTCCTTTCAATTCAAAAATTTATATATGTTGAATACTTAGTGAGTTTCTATATGCAGCCAACACCACAAAATGGTGGAGGAGCAAAATCCACATGCTGGAAAACATGTCATTGAGCGTATTCATTGTGAGAACTTTGCAGATTGGTTTTCGAACCATGTAAGCTGAACAATCTTACAGGTTCTCTTATATTTTTTATGCATCAAAGAAGAAATTTTGTCATTGTTACATTTTTTATATAATAGGTTAAGCAGATTCAAGTAGCTGATGGTGTTGACATCTCCAAAGATTTGAAACTTCTGGCTGGGGGTCCAAACAACGTGGGGAGAACATATAAAAAGATTCTTGTCAATGGCTTTCGCTTCCATACAAGACAATTAGAATCTCAAAGGAAAACTCAAAATAGTGGGGTTCTTGTCAATGCAACAACATCAAGCTTTTCAAGTACTAAAGATAATAATCCAATTTTAAGTGACATGGCTTACTATGGTATTTTGACGAATATCCTTGAGTTAAATTACACTGAAGGCCGAATTGTCACTTTATTTGAATGCGATTGGATATCAAAAGGCAAAAGATTAAAACAAGATGAGGATGGATTCACATTGGCCAACTTCAAGAATGTAAAGCCTCACCCTGAGCCATATGTGATAGCAACCCAAGTTTCACAAGTTTTTTACGTTGCAGACCCCGTAGCTGAAGGCTGGAGTGTTGTTGTTGCTACATCTCCAAGGAATGAGTTTATGATGGACCCCGTATGTGATACTGAGATGTATTTGCAGAGCACAATTACCTTAGCAACTCAAATGGACAATGAGAATGAAGACATTCGATGGGTTCGAGAAGATGATGGAGATGAAATCCTCCACTAGCCTGAATTGTTGAAATGCTTATTTTTTGCTATTTAAACTGTAAAAGTTGTAACTATGAACATAGTCCCAATTTCATATGCACTTTTTGTCGATGCAAATTCAGATTATCCTTGTTATGTCTTTGCATTTGCCTACTTTGAAATTTCTATTTTAACCCACCTACTTGCACTTTAAAATTGATACCTTTGTAGATGAAAAACTTCAGTCTAGTTATAGCCTTACTATTATCATATTTGTTTGAGATTTTGCTATCCTTTTTGCATTTGTGTTCTTCCATTTGTTAAATGTTTTCATTTGTAGGAATGGCAAGGACTAAAAGACAGAAGATTAATGGAAATACACTTGTTGATCAACCCGAGGATATAGCTGAAAATCAGATTCACATTGAGGAGCCTAATTCTACAGGTACATCTCTAATAAGTCACGCTAAGTTTTGCAGTTCATTCTTGAGATCCAGTTTGAAAATTTCAATTCTACTAGTTCTTTTGGTAATGAAATTCACTGGGGTCATATTTCATGGTTGTAGATGAAGAAAATGCAGATGAAAATTCACAAAGAAAAACTAGAGGGCCAACATATATGACAGAAATATGGGGTAAACCTAGTAGTTGTCATCGGTACAAAGTTAGATTTGATAAGGATAGTGAGCCTGTTGGCAAGAATAAGTCCAAATTTGCTGAGTTCTTAGGAACAATAGCAAGAAATGGAAAGTATGCTCCTATAGACGTGACAAATTGGCGTGAAATGACAACTGATAAGAAGCAAGACATGCTTGTACTAGTGAAGGTAATACACATTTTTCTTGATATAAATGTACATCTGTACCTTTTATATGACAAAAATATGTATCTAACTATTTGAGGTGTTATTGTAGGAAAAATTTCGTCTTCCTCCAGGTGCAGATTTCTGGACTTTGAAATCTATTGGCAAAAAATGGAGAAATTGGAAATCAGCTTTAAAGGCAAAATATTACAATCCAAATGAATCCATTGAGAGTCAAATTAACAATAGGGATCCACGGACCTTGAAAGATCAGTGGAGAAATCTTCTGGCTTATTGGAGCTTAGAGGAAACAAAGGTATAGTTGTTTTAACTATTAAATATCAATCACTATGTTGAGATTATAAGTTTCTACTGTTTTCTATAATTTCAGAATACCAGCGAGAAGAATAAGATGAGTCGGACCAAGAAAACAATGAATCATAAGACTGGGAAGAAATCGTATGCTCAAATTTGAAAGAAATTGGTAAATCTGTTTAACATTTTAGTTTTATTTAGTTTTTCCTTGTATCACCTAGTGGTCTTATGGAGACTTCGTTTTCTATAGACGAAAAAATTAGGTCATCTTCCATCACGAGTTGACATGTTCGAACACTGTTATACTGACTCAAACGGAAACCCGGGAAATGATGACGTTGCAACTACATTGGTAAGTCACTAATTGGTTGATGAAATTAGTACCCTAAATGACTGAAATTGTCTACTAACTTAAGACTGATTTTATCTTGATTGATGTAAGATAATCGATTTTATTAATATTAAACTTTTTCTGGATTTTGAATACAGCAAGCTTTGAAAGAAAAAGTTAGCCAACTTCCTCCTGGTTCTAATGATGATGTTGGTCGTGATGATGCATTCGCCCAAGTATTTGGGGAAGATAAGAATGGACGTGTGCGCATGTATGGTCTAGGCGTGACACCATCAGACAAATGGGGTAATGCACCAAGTCGCAGCACTTGTCAGCGTATTGTTATGGAGCAAAAGGCAGCAATTTTTAAGATGGAAGAAAAATTTGCTGAGCAAGATCAGCAGCTTAAAGACCAAGCCAAAGAACTTGCAGAGCTCAAAGCAATGGTGTGTCAGCAGCAAAATAGTGGCTCAATAACCGGTGGCTCGATAAATTCAACATCCTCTAATCGGGTTTCAAAATCACCTATTGGTGCTCGTTCTCTTCAGGTATGTTCATGATTCTTTTCAAGAATTTACTGTGATTATATCATGTGAGGATGCTTTTATTGTTTGAAACTTGTTGATTAATTAAACTGCTATTTTGTTTGGTTATGTTGAATAGTAAAACATGGCAATTTCAACTTAGTAGGGTCGTGGTTGTTAAGTTTTATTGCTGAAAATTGGAGAAATGTTCAAAATGCAGGGGAAACTCTATCAAATTTTTTAAAATAAATCTATCTAATTCAATTCTATGACTTTAAATTATCTTGTAGGAAGGTGATTGGGTGGATATTTTCAGTTTGTTTGATCCAACAAAATGTCTAGCTATTGGTCGCCTCCAAGGAATTGATCATTCTAAAGTTGTTGGCGGACAATCATTAGGACCATGTTGGTGTGAAATACTAGTACAAATTGTGGTGGAACGCAGCGAACCATTGATTAGGCCTTATGGGCTCTTGCAGACAATTGAAGATGCACTTGGTGCACCGATTGCTTGGCCACTGAAATTGGTATACTTTGACACAAAACTGTTCAAGTTTTTTTCTTTACAAATATTTGTAAGTTGGATGGATAATGAAGTGGTGTTCTTACTTAATGTATAGGTAAAGATTCATGGGGATTGATAGTTGCACTTTCAGAAAAGACAATGCTGCATTTTATCGCAAGAGTTGGACAACAGCCTTTTGTTTAGAGAAGCAATGCTAGTTTTTGAGTTAACTTCAAATTTGTGGAATATTTTTGTGACGATGCTGCTGGATTCTATTGCAAGAGTTGGATGGCAGCCTTTTGTTTAGAGAAGCAATGCTAGTTTTTGACTTAACTTCAAATTTGTGGAATATTTTTGTGACGATGCTGCTGGATTCTATTGCAAGAGTTGGATGGCAGCCTTTTGTTTAGAGAAGCAATACTATTTTTGAATTAACTTCAGATTTGTGTACTTTCAGATTTGTGTACTTTATGAAATGGTCACAAAATTTATTATGAGAGGTATAAACTTTCAAGCAGATTTATATTCTTTGGCATAATGGCTATCTTACTTTTGCATGTTATGTGTTTGGCGTATTGTATTAGGAGATTAGAGTACAAAATTTGGATGAAAATTGCACCAAAAAAAAAACAGACAGCTATTGAGGCACTTGCCAATGTCTACATTGAAACTAATGCATCTACTAAAACCACATATCGTGACACTTTTTTGAGAGTTTGAAGATTCCTTTTAACAACGGTAGAAAATGCCCTGAAAGATAGGCAAACACTGCATTGTGAACTGCCTCCATTAATGTATATAATGCACTTCATTGTGCCTAGACAAACATCTTTTGGTAACATGTACAAGTGTCCTAAAAAGGACAAAAATGATACCAAGTAAAATGCCTTTATAGTGTATCTTTAGAGACATTGGTTTGTGCCTATTTACGATTTCTATCATGGCAATTGTGAGTGCATCAAATTCATTAAACGTGGCATTAAAAAGCGCCTCCAACCTTTTCCAAACGGGTAGTTTAGTAGACATTTCATGTGTGCGCCTCAATAGTCTAAGTGCCTCTAAAAGTTCCCTATTCCATCATTTTGTTGTGCCTCCAAATATAATTTTTCTTGTAGTGAATGAAACTCGCAAAATTTAAAAGTTTAGAGAGCAAGTTATCTCGTAAAAATCCTAAATTATACCAAAAATAAACACATGGTGCTACTTAAAATACACATATAATAAACACTTATCAGAGACATAATCAATCTTTAATTGTCTTTTTCTTGGGAGAGCTATTTGTTTGGGTAAATTGCCTTTATCCTCTTGTGGTTTAATATTTTATCATATAATTCTTTATGATTTAAAAACCTATATATAACTCCCTCATTGCTTGTATTAAAGTGCTACAGTTAGTTTTTCTATCAAAACCAATGGTCAATAGTAAGAAGTCAAAATCAAAATAATAATTTGACAAATTCAACTTATCACTACCTTTTTTTCTTTTTTCCCTTTTCTTTTTCTTTTTTTTTTTTTTTTGCGAAGAGAAGAGATGATTATGAAAACCTATATTTTGGCTTATAAAATCTTAATTTTTTTCCAAATACAAAAGAGAAGAAAGGGAAATAAAAAATAAATAAATAAGAAACAAAAAAGATGGAAGGAAAATATAAAACAAATAAATAAGAAACAAAAAATACCAAATCATTTTTTACCACAAATATCATTATAAGCTTTTAAATCAAATCTTTAATGATATTTTCTATTTATTATTTATTATTTATTATTTTAATTTCTTCTTTTTTATGTTTTGAGGAAAAAAAGAAGTAATAGAAGGGTAAATTTGTCAATATATTTGTTTGATTTTGAATTTTTACTATTGACCATCAATTTTAACAAAAAAAAACTAATGATGACATATTAATCCAAATGATGAGGAGGTTATATATAGTTTTTAAACGATAGGGAATTTAAGTGGTAAAGTACCAAATCACTTGGGAATTAAAGGTAATTTAACCTATTTTCTTTTCCTAAAACAATGGTTGCGATTTTTGCTCTTTTCCTTTCTAAATATGTTTTTCAAAACCAGTTTCAATCATCACAGATACGAATTGACAAGTAAAAATGGAGCAGAATTATTTGACTAAAAATGGAGCAAAATTATTTGACTCATCAACGCTGTTTTGCTTGTCTTTTGAAAATTTCAGTTCAAGTTCCTTTGGAAATAGACTTGAGTTGAACATTGTAAGGATGGTTATAGTTGCGGTTTTCTTTTGGAAACTCCAATTTTAGTTTCGGTTCTTATTGTTTATAATTTCAGTTCCTTCCGATTACACATGTAGCTCCTTCCAGTTACACTTAGTTACATAAAGTTACAATATTGATTCTGAAAAAAACAGGAAAATGAATTAAAACTAAAGGTAAACTAAAGACAATGAATTTAAATAAAAACTGTAAATTTTATGTTATAATTAGTAAAAGGCAAGATGATAGAAATTCTATAAATAAAAAACCACACGTTATCAAACATTTTGAATAAAAGAAAGGATATACAATTTTGTTAATGAAGTGGAAATGAAATGGAAAATGCAAAATCATTAAATTTGCCAATCACCATCTAAAGGACAAATTTTTTTTAATTGGATGGTTCGTACCAGACAAGAACCACCAGTTTTGGTTCAGGTTCGAATTTTTGAAGGAGTTGAACAAAAATCATTTGCAAAGGTTTTGATTCTCGAATTTTGGTTCTGATCCTAGTCCAAGAACGCTCCGATCATGTTCCCATTTGGTTCAAGTACGAACTTGAACCGTGGTTGTGCCCAGGCATACATCTAAATAATATATTTAATGTACACAGCAAATACTTGTAAAAAAAGTTCCATTAATCTTTTTGATAAGGCATTGCAAGTCAAATAGTCATTGAACCCTGACATATTGTGCTTAGGATTTAGTGAGTTGTTTTATCAACTGATATACTGCTTTGACCTGTCTTGTAAGGTTTTTATTTCTTTGTTAGATATATTTCTTTTTTTCTTTTCAATGCTTTTAGCTTCTTCAGGTTAATGGGCGAAAAAAATCATGTGTTAGACATGTGACATTTTTTGGTCAGGAATATTGTTTTTACTTTAATTTTGTTCCCGAAACTATGGACACCTGAACAGTGCATGAACATTTTTTGGCTGAAACAAATGGCGAAATGAATTCAATAAGCAAATTAGTGATTTTTTTTTTGGGACCATCTTGCCATTTTAAACGTTTCAAGCTAAAGAAACAAGATCATTTTGGTGATATTTCTTTCTGTTTAAATGATTGACATCTAAGCACAAATATACTCTTCCTTCTCTCCTCCTCCTCTCTTCTTTTTCTCTAGAAAAAACTCTCTAACTAAAAACTCCCTTCAACTCTCCCATGGAAGAGATATCTGATTTTTCGGATCTTTTTCCATGGGAGGAGCCCTCTATATAGTTTCTTTTCATTTGTCTGAAAAAAAAAAATCTCTCTTAGGATTTTCTAGTGAGAGTTTCTTCTCTTCTAAATTTTTTAGTGAGAGTTTATTCTCTCCTAGGGATTTCTAGTCAAAGTTTTTGATAATTTTTTTATTTTTCTTTTATTGGATCTAAGTTTGTTTAGATTTTCATTATCAAATCTAGAATTTCTTGAATCTATTCGATAAATCTCATCATAATATATGGACTTGACATAGTTAATCAGCAAATCGAGCGATTGGAAACATGCACAAATGTTCGTGAAATGACAATTATTTTATCTCATTTTTTAAATTTGGAACTTTACAATGTAATTTTTATTGTTCTTCCGATTTGGAGTATCCTTTCTTCAGATATGTTATTTGATAATATATGCACTTGAAATAGTTAATCAGCATAACAAGTGATTGGAAACATGCACAAATGTTTGTGAAATTACAATTATTTTATCTCATTTTTTAAATTTGGAACTTTACAATCTAATTTTTATTGTTCTTCCGATCTGGAGTATCCTTTCTTCAGATATGTTATTTGATATCTGTATATGTTTAATGATGTAATTTTTGCCATTAGTATAGATTTTAATGAAATTATGATATTTTATAAAAAAAAATGATTAACATGTAGACATGTGACCAAATATCGATTCCTCTTATTTTCTGTCAAGGCTCCTACATTGGCAACATTTGAACGAGATAAGTAGAGCTGGCAAAAAAGTCCAAAACCCAACAACCCGCCCATTAATTTTAAAGGATGAGTTGGGTCAGTTGGGTTATGGGTTTTGTTGGGTCAGGTAAGAACAATCCAACTTATTCATTAAATGGGTTGGATTTTTTATTTGGACACCCACTATTCAACTTGTTTAAAAGTAATTCAAAACAATAAATACAAGATTCAATACACAAATGCTTAACCACTTGCATTTGGAAATGTGTTAATAATTCGTTGACCAATTTGTATTCAAAATTCTCATATATATGTTTTCAATCAATTTTTTTAATTTTTATTTAAAAGAAAAAGAAACTTGAAATAAAATCTCATACTTATTTTACTTTTACAACAGTTGTTAAAGTTCCTCAACTTCTATAATAATTTATTATACCTTTTAAGAATATGTTGTTTTCCTCTCCTTTTTTCCTTGTTTTTTTTTTTTGTGGTTGTTCTCAAGTTGCTACTTGCTTCTGTTTGTTAATATTTTGTGTACGTAGAATAAGATTTTAAATTTACTCTAATTGCATTCTTTTACTTTTCTCTAACTCGTTTTATTTCATTGTTAATAATTCTTCATCAATACTATAATACAACAAATTATATATCTCTTACTTCATTTTCAAGCATAATATAATCTAGCATTCAATAATTTAAATACATAGAATATTACAACTTACAATAAAGGATATATGAATAGTAAAAGTGTTAATAAGTTGTGGCAAAAAAAGTTTCAATCAGTTAGTAGTATTAAAAAGTATAAAGTAAACAAAATTATTTAGCAAATCTATTTCAATGCACAATTTATTATCTAAAATTCACAATACAAGCAATATAAAATATTATTCTATTTATGATTTGTTTTCAAGTAGTTTAAGAAGTGAGTGTGAGTTTGTGTGTGTGAAAATGTGTTAGTGTGTGAAAATACATTTAGGTATATGAAAATGTGTTTATGTGTGTGTGA